AACGAAGTTGATCCGTATAAAGAAAAGCTCTTTAATTTGAATAAGCACCCCTTCTACCAAAACTGATATTGATAATAAGCAACAGATCAGCTCCACTGAGATAATCAGCCAGATTGTTTTAATATTCAGTACTCAGGATACTTCTGTCAGACTACAGTACTGTTACAAAACAGTGTTGAATCATATAAAATGCTGTAGTTCGGATTATTATACAGGAAATCTAATGTCAAGTGCTGCTTCAGCACAATTATCATTCCTATTTTGTACCTTATTCTTCCATTTCATTTGTTCCAGATTCCATTTAAATCAGTAAACATTAAAAAGAAACATATCTTAGCACATTTTAAAGTTCATTTTAATTTTTTAGAACTCAGAAATTGTTTCAACATAGTACCATTTAAAACCATCAAATATACATAAGTAATACAGCTTCTACTTTTATAAATTTCTGAAATGGAGCAAAAATGCTATTGTATCAATTTACCAAAGGTACATTAATACAATTACCAGATGCTTGATATAGGAATATGCCCATATGCCCATATTTTTAACACTATTGGTTGACATGGAATCTAAGGTATACCAAACAATTCCTATAAAAGTACGTCTCTTTATTGAGGGGGGTGGCAGGTGGGGCAGGGGAGAATCAAGACGCATGGAGCAAGATGCTCCCCTTGCCGTCTCTTCTCCCCCCCCCCTCGCTGGGCATGGCAGGGCTCCTGCCCCTTGTTAGCCACCCACCCATCCCTTTAGGGATGAAATTTGGGGGTGGCAGGTGGGGCGGGCAAGAAGCGGGACACAGATCTTACCTTTCAAGCTCCGTCGCTTTCCTCGCCGTTACAGAGAAACATGCTGTAAAAGAAAACCTTGTGAGTTCAGTCAAACTTCTCGAACTCGCGAGATTTTCTTTTACAGCATGTTTCCCTGGACACAACGGCAAGGGGAGTCACGTCTCGCTCCATGTGTCTCGCTTCTCCCCTGCCCCACCTGCCACCCCTCTCAATAAAGAGACAGCGGGGAAGGGAAGCAGCTGTTGCCATTGAGGTGGGGTGGGCCAGTGCAAAGAACAGGGAGGGGAGGCGATGGCAGCAACGGGACAGCCAGTCTCATGCTCCCCGCCTCCTGCACCCCAAAATAATAAGACCCCCCCAATAATAAGGCCAAGCCCTTATTTGGGGGGGGATCAAAGGAAAATAATACCCTGTCTTATTTTCTGGGAAACATGGTAGTCTCAGGCAATGACAACAATACCATTCAGAAAATAGGGCATCTTATCACTCAATTTGGCCATTTTAGACTTCCGGTCTATAGCTTTTTCTTCTTGGAGATGGTGGTAGACAACTTGGATAACAGGTTTTTGATTAAGTAAATTATTTAGAGCCCTTTCAAATTGGATTCAGGCTTGAGCATGGAATGAAAATAGTATTGATATTCTGGTAGATGGTCTACATCAGTTGTGTCAAACTCAAGGCCTGCAGGTTGAATCTGGCCTGCGGGGTGCTTAAATTTGGCCCACGGGGTCGGCCTGGAAATAGCAAAGGACCGACCTGCAATGCCTCTGGCAGCCAAAATGGGGGTGCACCCGGTTTTGGCTGGCAAAGTGCTGTAGGTGGCTGTCCAGGCTGAAGAAGGGGCATGGAGGGCCTCCCTCCCCCCCCGCACTCCATTTTGGCCAGCAGGGTGCTACAGGAGGCATCCATCCCCTCTCCCCCCTCCCCTCTCTGGCCAGCTCATGGAAAACTACAATGCTGATCCAGCCCTCAAATCCAGTTTGACACCCATGGTTTGTATGGTTTACCACTTATATGAAGCTCTTTTATGAAGTCATCTGCTGATTTGAGATGAAGTGTTATCAGCCTTCTGATACCCATCTATGCATCAACCCAAGAAGACAAGAGTCTAAGAGTTTGTTATCAGACTAGTAAAGATTGAAATAATTATTAAATAAATAATTGTCTGTAGGTTTTCTATTAGTAGTGAAGACTATTGTTCCCTTCAGGTGTACCATATGACTGGGAGAAAGGGACTCTGCCTTGTATATTAAGACTTTGCCTTAATATATAGATAAATTAGTTCTATGTTAAAAGTTCATTTGCTGGAATTTGTGTTGTTAACACAACTTGTGTTAACTTGTGTGAGTATTGTGTTTGGAAGAGAATCCTTTCTGGAGCCAATTGCATAAGGAGAAAGGTACATAGACCCAAGGCAATCTCCTTTTGTAATGGCTTCCATATTATGAAAATCTCTCACTAGAGGTATCCCTGATGCTCTCGTCTCTGAACTTCTGCAAGAACAAGAAGACTGTTTTGTTTGAATATGTATTTGGTGTTCAATTTTACAATTAAATAATTAAATAATTTTATAGTGACTAGACTATTTCTTTATTTTCTATTTAGTTTGCTTTTGGATTTGTTTACTTTGGTTGCTGTTTATTTATGCCTTTAATCATATTATTATGCACTACCCAATTGGATGTACAAGTACATGTACAAAAATAAGCAAACTTGGATTTATTGTGGTAATCCCATGGGTGTCTAGGTTTCCTGTGAGCAATAGTGTATTGTTCACAGTTATGTTTATGATTAGTGCTTATGTAGTTATCTCAAAAGTTTTCGTGGATGATGAAGTGGGCTGCACAAAAGGAAAAGATTGTTGGCGCATGTATACAAGAGACCTCAAGTTTTCAGAAGAATAAGTTTTGGGGCTAACATCTGATATAACCTTCTCTGATAATTTACAGACTGAATCAAAATTCTAGAAGAGTAGAAATCACATTCATGACTAAGCCCTACATATAGAACTATCCTTTCTATATGACAAGTCTCATTTGTTGTTATCTGTGAAATATAAAACATATTTGTTATTCACTTTACTGCACCAGAAAGTTAGAGTTCACATTATTGCAATTTAATTGTTTGATGTTAGTTGTTGCCTCATTATTGCTGCAGCAATAAATTTCTCTAGGTGGTTTCACTTAGTAAAAGATAGGTGTGAAAAATCTTCCATTCTCCCTGATCCTAGTAAAGGGATTACATCCTTTCGAAGTTACAATAAAAGACATGTTAAATTGTCTCAATGTCCTCAAAGTCACAAGTGCAAATGTGTGGAGCTACAGGAATTTTAGCCTACCTGCCAGATAATATTAGTGATTGAAATATTTTATGCCTGATCCTGAAAAATCCTTTCCTCAAGCTAAAGGAAGTAAAGGTACAAATATCTTGCTAGTTCCTCAAAGCCTACTTTGACAAAGGGTTGCCAGGTGTCCACTATTTGAGCGGACAGTCCACTTTTTTCACATTATGTTCACTATTTTTTTTCACAAAATAGTGGACATTTTTTTTAATTCAAAAGCTTTATGATGAAATGGTACGTAATCTAAAGCTGTACAGTCTAAGAGAATAAGGATAGGAGAATCGTGTTTTGTCTTTTTTTCCATAAATTAGAATGAGACAAAGATCGAATGCTCATTGCAATAATCACATTTTATACAACAGCGCAAAAAATGCATTAAAGCAGTTATCTTTTGATATTGAAAATGTAGTGCTGAAGGTTTTTGCCGAATTTTCAAATTCTGCGAAGAAACGAGAAGAATTGAAATCATTTTTTGAGTTTTGCGAGTCAGAATTCCATGAAGTTTTGCGCCATGTTCCAACACGTTGTTAAGTTTGTTTAAAGCGGTCGAAAGACTTCTTTTAAACTGGATACCTCTAAAATCATATTTTATTTCTCTTGGATCTGATGAGTGCCATAAGGTTATCTGGAACCTTATTTCGGATCAGGAAAAGGAACTCGCAAAGGACGATGAACCAACAATTTCAGAATTGTATTTATATTTCACGCACTTCTTCATGTCAATAATGCAAGACACCCTACTGAAGCTGGAAAGCAAGAAAATTCTTGCATGTGATTTTCACATTATCATGTGTAAGCTGTGTGATTCTTTGCAAAAAAAAATACGATGAGCAGTTTTTTGGAATGAAAGTTTTATTTGCCTTACGTAAAAAACATTTGCCTGAGAATGCCATGCAAAAGTTCAAGAAAGAAGCCATCAACGTGTATCAAAGAGCCATTGCGTACCTAGAAAAGTGGTATAATTTCACTGATTCAATATATGAGACGCTAAATTGTTTCAATCTGATTGATCGCAATAATCCTCCAACTTTAGAAGAAATGATGAACATCTGGTTATTATCACCATGGCGAGAAGAACTTCCACCTAACTCTCTCTTCGATGAAATTTCTGCCTTAGAAGAAGTTTATGTTCATCTGCAGGGCGATTCATCCCTTGATAAGTGGACATACTTTTTCAAGAAAGAGCTAGCTCTGAGTTTACTGAAACTGCTCCAGTATTGTGCATCAATTCCGGTATCAAATGCAAACGTTGAACGAATTTTCAGCGTCATGGGAAATTTGTGGACTGACGAACATAACCGACTGCTTGTACCATCAATTCGAAGTGAACTTTGTATATTTTTTAATATTTCTCAGCGTTGTACTGAAATTAAAGAATTATTCCTTAAACACAAAGAATTGATCAAAGCTGCGCAGTCAAATAAAAAATATACACGACAGCAAAGTAAAATGTAATTTAATATTTTACATATTATTATAATATATTTGATGTTTTGAATTTTAAGTAAAGTTTTGAAGTGATTATTTTAATACGTGTTAAAATGTTTGTAAGAAAATATATAATTTAATTGTAAAAAAAATTTTTTATTTTTTTTACTACTTAGCCCCACCCCCCCACCCCCCGCTTATCCACTATTTTTTGAAAGCAGACCTGGCAACCCTATACTTTGTTTAGCATACTTCTGAGGCTCTGAGAAGGGAAGCTGACTTCAGACTGGTCTTCAGAGTAATCCAGTCCTTTCTCTTTTCTTTTAACTGTTTGATTTTATTTGGTTATATCTATTGCTCAACTCTATAAACAGAGATTTTGATTTGATTTTTTTTTGTTTAATTATAAATAATCATGAATTCTGAAACATTATTTTTAGGCATTGACGGTGGTGTAGTGAAAGTTCAGGGAGCCAAAGGATTGCCTCCTTCACCATTTTACAAGGTTCTTTTTCATTGCTTTACAATTATATTTATTTTATTTATATTGCTGCCTATTTGCCCATGGCGAATATATATAGAAAATATATATTCTCTCTCTCTGTCTCTCTGTCTCTGTCTCTCTGTCTCTGTCTCTGTCTCTCTCTCTCTCTCTCTCTCTCTCTCTCTCTCTCTCTCTCTGTCTCTCTCTCTCTCTCTCTCTCTCTCTCTCTCTCTCT